GAGGTTAATAATAATAGTACAATTTGTAACGCGCGCAAATTTGCAGACGTAGTGGCCGCAACTCAGAGGCGCGGAGCCAAGCTCAGAGTCGCTCAACAGCATGATTGTAGAGGTGAGTTTTTAAGTGTCTCTTGAAGGAGGCGATTGAGGTGATGCTGCGAATGTGCAGAGGGATATCGTTCCAGACTGTTGGGGCTGCCACTGGTTGGCAGCAACATGACGGTGTTGCAGCAGCTACTTTGAGTGGAAGTCGGCAGCACAAGACAGAGGACGGTGGAGATACCTCGCGAGATGTTGCAGTGGACACCACCTGCTGCGGCCTCTCTGCCCACGCATGGATCGTGATGATGATGATGATATGAGTGCTATCTGCGGGACCGTTTTGGCAGTATATCAAAATAAAAGTCTCGTCAGTTTAGTTCCCCTGCTCCTCGGATTAAGTCTTATCTGTGGGATATGTTTTTGGCAGTCTATCAACAACACATTCCTGCTGCGGGTTGCTCGGTCAATGGGCAGGGTCAACGGCGGCGTGGTGTATTCCGCAAATGTGGCCGACTGTGAGGGCGGGCACAAGCCGGCGTGAGTTGGTTAAACGTTGAGTTTTATAAGGGCACCACGGGGTGACCAGCCCCTCCCCACCCAGCCCCTCCCCTCCCACCCCCCACCCAGCCCCACCCTCCCCACCCAGCCCCCCGCCACCCTCCCCACCCAGCCCCTCCCCTCCCACCCCCCACCCAGCCCCACCCAGCCCCTCGCCACCCTCCCCACCCAGCCCCACCCTCCCCACCCAGCCCCTCCCCTCCCACCCCCCACCCAGCCCTTCCCTCCCACCCCCCCACCCAGCCCCACCCAGCCCCTCGCCACCCTCCCCACCGCCCTCGCCACCCTCCCCACCCAGCCCATCCCTGCACGACGGACACAATTCCCTGTGGGCTGGTGTAACCAGGAGGTTCCTACCAGTATAAAAGTCTCGTCGGTTGAGCTCCACTGCACCTCCGACTAACACGGTTGGCAGCGTGCGGTGCGAAAGAAGTTCTACAAACCTCCACCACCCACCTACATGTAGTAGCTACTAGTAGATACTACATGTGTAGTAGCTACTACACAGGTAGTAGATACTAGTAGATACTACATGTGTAGTAGCTACTACACATGTAGTAGATACTAGTAGCTACTACATGTGTAGTAGCTACTACACAGGTAGTAGATACTAGTAGATACTACATGTGTAGTAGCTACTACACATGTAGTAGATACTAGTAGCTACTACATGTGTAGTAGCTACGGCCTCCGCACTTTCAAGGGCCCCGCGCTAAATGCTTTCAAGCTATCAATTCCGGTTCAGTGATTCTGCACTTGCTCTATTACTATAGTACTATACCGCCTTCAACTTTGATGAACGACTGGGTGTTTAAGGTTAGCGATTTGTCGTAATATCTGGCTGTATAACAAATAAAAATACATTTATTTTCCGGTGCAAGTTAAAAATTCGTGTTTTAATATTTATGTGTTTTTTGTTTTATATTTAGGGCCCCTTAATGGCATAAGTTACAGGCCCCGCACTAGCTTAGTCCGGCTCTGGACGTGACGACGTCTGTTGACATCGTGAGCCTGTGGACTCGTAACGAACAGATGAACAACCCGCCAGCATTGTCCGGTTGATAACGTTACTCAAGAAAACGAGTGGAATTTTCCACGAACTTTCACATTCGAACGACCCGAATGTTAAAGGTGGATGGAGAGGCAGTGGTTGACCGCACTTCTGTTTCCACCCCTCCCCCCACCGCGGCCCAACTCGTGAGTGACATTTCCGTGCAAGAAAGAGCTTTACAGCTCATCGGATTCTTCCAGGATAAATTGATTCCGATGAGTGGCGAGTGAGTTCTGGATTCACGCCACCTGCTCCTCCTCCTCCGAGTGGGATTCTCCACTCATCCGTGGTGAAGTATGGTCAAACGCCCCCCCCCATGAGCGGCCACACGGCATGGGAGTGGGAGGGGGGGGGGAGAGGCCTTCACATCCAGCAGTGGAGTTGACGGAGGCCTGCCCTGTAAGGAGGGTGTTTTATGGACATGCGCACGCATTTCACTCGCGGGGCGAGACGCACCGACCTGTGCAGTAGCAAGCGAAACGCAATCGGCTTTCGCGATGTGTCCGGTGCAAATCTGACAGGAAAAGGGTCGATAAGGCGCCAAGATTTGGCGCCAAACTGGAAGCCGCCTCCTACTTGCACCGTACGACGGGCAGCTCGCCAGCACTGATTCAAGCAAAGCGCGACTCTGTTGCTGATGAGACGCTGTGAGTCGAAACCGGCCCTGGCGTGTAACATCGGCAGCTCGCCAGCACTGATTCAAGCAAAGCGCGACTCTGTTGCTGATGAGACGCTGTGAGTCGAAACCGGCCCTGGCGTGTAACATCGGCAGCTCGCCAGCATTGAGTGAATGATCCAGTGGGTTGGTGAGTGGTTGAGTGAGTGATCCAGTGGGTTTGGTGAGTGGATGAGTGAACGGATGGGTGGTTGTGTGAGTGAAAGAGTGCATGAGTGATCAGGCGGGTTGGTGAGTGGATGAGTGAGTGATGAGAGTGGGGGAGTGAGTGGATGAGCGAGTGAGTGATCAGGTGGGTTGGTGAGTGGATGAGTGAGTGGATGAGGGTGGTGGAGTGAGTGGATGAGTGAGTGGATGAGCGAGTGAGTGATCAGGTGGGTTGGTGAGTTGATGAGTGAGTGATTAAAGTGGTTTAGTGAGTGGGTGAGTGAGTGATCACACGGGTTGGTGAGTGGATGAGTGAGTGATGAGAGTGGGGGAGTGAGTGGTTGAGCGAGTGAGTGATCAGGTGGGTTGGTGAGTGGGTGAGTGAGTGATGAGAGTGGTTGTGTGAGTGAAAGAGTGCATGAGTGATCAGGCAGGTTGGTGAGTGGGTGAGTGAGTGAGTGGATGAGTGAGTGAGTGGATGAGTGAGTGAGTGATCACACGGGTTGGTGAGTGGGTGAGTGAGTGATGAGGGTGGTGGAGTGAGTGGGTGAGTGACTCTACACCTCTGTAACAACGACACCATCCGTACCATACGGACTAAAGTATTAATACTTTCATCTGCACACTCTCAGAAAATAAACCTACTCGCTGTTCTGTACACATTTAAGAGTCTGCGGGTAATCAAGTTGTTGCAGATTTTGTTTGTTTCATCTCTCGTTATATTGAATGAAATTATGTTTTTATTTGTATTTTTATCGTTTTAATTAACTTTATTTTTATTAAAAATTTGCTATCTACGCGACTCTACCGAAAGAACCAAATAATATGAATTCCTGCAGTCACGAAAGTTTTAAGTCAAAATTTAATCCATACGGGACAAACATTTGTAGGCGTACCACTCGCTGCCTGCCATACAGACAACAGACAACTCGTAAGTTCCCTCTGCTTCTTCATCTTCTTGTTCCATGTTCTTCTTCCATCTTCTTCTTCTTCTTGTTCCATGTTCGTCTTCCATCTTCGTGTTCCTCCTTCTGCTTCTTGTTGCCGTGCCGCTGCTGATGTCGATGCGGAGCAACAGCGACTGCCGTGTCCACACATTCAGGCGCTCACGCCGGCAGACAGCCGCGTCAGGGACTCGCCGTGCCGCGGGGTCGCGAGTGCGGAGTCGGCCGTTGCCATCCCCGTGGTGGCAGAGCCATCGCCGCGACATGTGACGCCGCATTCCTCGGTCTTAAAAGGTGGAGGAGCACATATTGTCCATAATTGAGGGTGTATTGTTCTTGGGTTAGATCGCCTAAATATAAACGCGTGTCGTCGTTAAACCCGCCGCCACACGACACGCAGCCGATTAGCAAGGGCGGTGTCACGTAAACAACAACAACGACAACAACAACAAGGACGTGGCCAATTCGTTACGGGTTGAGCACTCAGCCGCTCGTGCTGTCGGAGGGTAAACGCCACTACGACATTCACACTTGGAGGAGCTGGTGACGTTTCGCCGGTAATTACAACAAAAACAACAACGCCAACAACAACCACCACCAGCATCATCAGGCGACAGCCAAGAAGCCTGACGCGCTAAAACAAAGATATCGCGAAGCATTCCGATAAGCGATGTGCGGCAAACCGGTAACCATTGATTCGCCATTCGGTTACCGGTTATGCAACCCACCGACCCCAACGCCAGATGTTGTCTCTTATCTCGCTCGCGCTCACGTGGCATCAATAAAGGCGAGCACATTCCATACGGGACGAGGGGGGAGGGGTGGGGGGCGGGGGGAGCGAGGGGAGGGGGGGTCGAGGGGAGGGGGGCAAGGTGGGAGTGGGGAGCGGGGGGAGCGAGGGGAGGGGGGCAAGGGGGGGTCGAGGGGAGGGGGTTGGCGAGACACGAATTGTAAACGTCGCTGGGTTTACTCTCCAGCACACCGCGTGTGCTGGACCCGTCACACATTGGCCTCGTTGTTGTCTTCGTGACAAATCCTTACGGGTTGGAAGCGCGTCAGGTGGTGGCGGGTTTAACGACACACGTTCATATTTACGGCGATCTAACACAACAACAACAACAAAAACCCCTCTACAGTAAAAGTTCAGTTTCGTGTATTAGGTGTAGCCCTGTGAGCCGTGCGGCTCTTGACTCGGGTGCAACCGCAACAAACAAAAACACGAACAAGCAGCATCTCAAGGTGACTACACGCAACAGAAAAATACAGGACAAGACAGCAAAGTCTTCCAGAGAAGACACCGCATTGACTACCCTGGTCGCGATACACTACGACGCGTGGAACTGGCATCGGACAACGCCGCGGACTGCGGCTGACCCCCGAGTCCTGGGGTCGCTCGCCTGGTGGGGCGAGGCGCGTGGACTTCAGTCGACAGCAGTGGCCCCCTTTGACCTTGACCTTGCACCCACGTGGCTCTCATCGTTACGACTTGTGTCGTGTCAATGAGCCACGTGGGGGTTTGATGAAGCAAAGTTGTGACTCCGCGTGCCCGTGGCTCAATTTGTTTTCGATCTTTTAGCTTAAAAAAAAATCTGGAGTTGTCGCGCACCCCCAAGTTAAACAAGCTGGCAGGCCTCGCTTGTTTTCGTGAACGCACAATAACCATGAGCGACTGCGTGGAGACAATATGGAATCCACCTCGACGGGATGGACCACGTGCCTCCTTCCCCAATGTGTCTCGAGATGTGTTTTTACACATTCCCATCAGCCACACACAAGGCCTTCCTGTTGGGAGTACATGACTGCAGCTGCATGGATCATTGGTGGTGGATCTGCCCAATGTTTATAGTTAAGGATTGGTTTCGACATGCAGCGTCTCATCAGCAGAGCGAGGCTTGCTTGAATCAATGCCGGTGGCACTGCCAGACGTTCATAGCCAATGACCGCCCCCACTGACTGTAAGATACACATCCCGGTTCTACGCAAAGCTTCACAAAGACGCAACGCAAACGTCCCCCACAAGCCGCTCCCCGTTTTGCATTCGCTCCTTTGTGGGGAGTGCGAACAGCGAAAGGGGAGCGAGCGCCGTTGGGAGACATTTGCCTGCGAACTCCGACAACTTCGACTTCACGGCAGTGCTCCAAGCTGAAGGCGCAGCCCCTGCAGCGGCTCGCCCCCACGGCCCTGCTGATACTGCTGGCGGCCGAAGGGAAGGGCTTCCTCCACTCGAGGGGCCTGCACACGGCGCCCTCTCGATGGGAGGGTGCTTGGCCTACTCTTCCACGCTCGCCACACAGAATCATAGAGCCATAGAATCACACACAAAAAAAAACCCTAAACTATTTTTTATTTTACCAGGATTTATCCACAATTCTGGATCATGATGATAGTTGTAATAACCGGCAAAACGTCGCCTTCGAAATGTGTTGTGGGTTTACTCTCCAACACGCCGGTGTGCTGAACTAGTAACTGATTGGCACGCGATGTGTTCATGACAAACCTTACTAATTGGCTGTCGGGTGGTGGCGGTGTTTACGACACATTCATTTTTACACAATCTTACCCAAAACAACCTCCATTATGGATATTGATCGCAAAAGCCCACGTGCTAAACTGTATACTTGTATAGAGTTTGTGGAGACCCCCCCCCCCCGTCCCCGTGGTGGTGTGGATTTGTCTCCGGGTCCTCCGGCTTTCCCCTCCGCATTTAGCATCGACGTCACGCGTTCAAGAGGATCTGGCGACTGCTCTGAACGTGACGACGACGATGATGATGACGACGATGACGACGATTACGATGATGACGATGATCACGTGATGACAATGATGACGACGATGATGATGACGATCATGATGATGACGATCATGAGCCCACTTCGTTGAGCTATCATTTTGTGGCAGCCGGGTAGCTTCTGGTGAAAGTAGTCAACAGCTCATTGGACTTTACCTGGTGAAATAATGATTAAGCTTCAGTGATTTGTTTACCTCCCCTGTACTTTGCACCCTCATCGCGTGTTGGTTTTGTTTGTTCTTTTAGCGTTCTGACCACGTGGCCCTAACTGGACACGTGACAAAAGAGCTTCACAGCTCATCGGATTCCTCCTTCAGAGAGAATTCAGATTTCAGATTCAGATTCCAAACTCCTCTCACCAGCGGTGTCCGGCTTAACGAGCGCTCTCTGGGGGTTGCCCGAACCGTCGGGCAAGGTAGGTGACGGAGAGGTAGGGGAGGGAGGCCCTTTGCAGGGCACGCCGTGGCAACCTGCCCGAGCGTAAACAAAAACAACAAACACGCGAGGCAGAGGGTCGTCGTAAAAGATACACTTTAATAGTTATTAGTCGACTGCAATAAGTTAGCGGGGTTTAAAACGTCAAAATCGAAATTGCGAGGGGGGGGAATTCGATCGCCAAACCCTCCCCGGGAGACGCTACGGGAACAACGGGAACGTCCCGGAGGGGTCTGCGCCACGCGACGGCCGCCACCACCGGCCACCACCACCACCACCACCGCCACCACCGCCACCGCCGCCACCACCACCACCACCACCGCCAGCCACCACCACCACCGCCGCCGCCACCACCACCACCGCCGCCACCGCCACCACCACCGCCGGCCACCACCACCGCCACCACTACCACCGCCGCCACCACCGCCACCACCACCACCGCCGCCGCCACCACCGCCGCCACCACCACCGCCGCCACCACCACCGCCGCCACCACCACCGCCGCCACTACCACCGCCGCCACCACCACCGCCGCCACTACCACCGCCGCCACCACCACCACCGCCACCACCACCGCCACTACCACCACGACCGCCACCGCCGCCCACCGCATCCTCCTCCTCTTACATTCACGACGACCAAGTCACAGCGGTCGCCGCGGGGCCGAGCTCGCGACGGGCCAGTGCGGCAGCTGGACGCCGCCGCAGCCGCCGCAGCCGTGTACAAGCCAGAACTCTCTGGCCGAATGTGACGGGTGGATATTCCGTATCCTGCGTCGTATCACGAGGGCGTTGTTTTTTTTTTGGGGGGGGGGGGCGGGGAAGGACGTGGGAGGGAGTCTCCTTAAAATGTAAAATGAGGACCACCACCCCCACTCCCCCCAAAAAAAAAAGTAAATCTCCACTCCCAACGCTGAAGCGTTTTGAACAACGCGCAGGGCGCTGCTGCTGCTGCCGCTGCTCTGTTCTTGCGCACGACGGTGGCGGCAGCAGCAGCAGCAATGGCGACAGCGGCAGCAGCGGCGGCAGCAGCGGCAGCAGCAGCAGCAGCTGCGGCAGCGGCGGCAGCGGTAGCAGCAGCAGCGGTAGCAGCAGCGGCAGCAGCAGCGGCAGCAGCAGCGATGCGTCCAGCTCGATGCCCGTCGTGGCGGTCCACTGCTGCTCACCGAGAGGGCTGCGGAGTTCGTGTCATGATGCTGTTCGTGTGGCCGTTCGTGTCACTGTTCGTGTCACTGTTCGTGTTGCTGTTTGTGTCGTGCCGCTGTTCGTGTCGCCGTTCGTGTTGCCATGTCACGTGGCTGCCCTTACTCCTCCTTGTTTCAAGGAGCACAGACCGCAGCGGGTTTCCTGTAAGGCCAACAGTTTGGCTTGCATGACCACAATCGCACGGCACTGCGGTTGTGTCTTTAATTTTCCATTCATGAAGGAGATGTGGTGCAGCGTCGGCCTGCTGTATGCACAGTCTCTGTTCTCCTCTCTCAAGTTGTTTTCACAACGTGAATTGGATAGAACGCCACGAATGTGTTCGGGAACACTTTGTTTACAACGCGGATTGCGAAC